TCCCCAGCACAGAGGCTAGCACGAGGTAGGTGATAGTACAAGACAGTAGACGTTTCCTGAAGTAATTCATGAAGGTGTGCTTGAATGAATGAAATGAAATAATGTATTTGATAGTTCTTTGCAACTGTAAAGCCCAAGACAAATTTAGGTATTGTTATCATCTTGATCACCCCCGCGAATCATATCCTTTCCTCTGCTCCTTTGTTCTTTCTACCTAAATAGACCCTTGTCTAAATTATCACTTCACACAGGCTTCTCTGCTCCCAGTCAGAGTGCATTTTGACATTAAACTAAACCCCTCAGCACCTAGATAGGATCTAGAATTTAAAGAGGTTTGAAAAACGGAATCAACTATCTTGCATTTTAGCACCAGTCTTAAAACACTAGTAAGTGATAACTGTATTCTGAAAATGAAGAGAGCCAAATCGCTTGAGATACCATTTTCTTAGCTGATGGCAATATGTTTGCCAAAAATTTATGCCTCTTCCTTATATAGAGAGAATTTGTTTATCAGTTGAAGAGCAAAAGTGTAAAACATGCAACAGAAGAAATGAATTGATATGAATGACAAGAACAAATACTTGATATAAAGATCTCATCTTCCTCCTGGGAAATCCCAAGATATTTTTACAAATGACACAGCAATCACTTCATCCAGCTTGAAGAAGGTGAAATGCAGTAGCTCTTCTACGTCTGACAACCACCTCAGTGACTGTTTCGGGCAAGAGGTGAAAAATACTTACCTTAAATGCTGGGGAAGATTGGAATAAGAAAGAATATAATTATTCATGGATATAGAATATGGAATGACCAGAACTGGCTGAGGTTGACACCTCCACTCTTATGAGAAGTGCTATGAGATCATTGATGACTGGGAGGGGCAGGACCTCTGTTTAATCCTCATCTGAGAGACGTCAAGCAGAGTACATTTTCCCATGGTACCATTCTGACATTTGGGGTCAATCCTTTCTCCAAGGGAAAAAAAGTCACTTGCATAAATGCCACAACAGTAGCACCTTGCAAGTCTCTGGAAGTCATCCAACTGAATGTCAGTTTAATATAGTTAAGTCACCTTGTTAGACATTCATGGTGCAGGGTGCCCAGAGATGTCTCTGTGATGGGGCGTATTTCTCCATGGGTAAGTGTTGGTGAGAAGGAGTGGAGCTGCTGTGGTGGGTGGGTGCTCTCACCACAGAAGGGGCAGTATAGCCAAAGGACATGGCGTCTGAAGACAAATGCAATCTGGGTTTGTTCACAACTCCTCATTTTGAAAGTTGAGTTACCCAACTTCTCTGAGACTTAATTTCCTCATCTATAAAATGGGGATGATCATACCTTTGTCATATAGTTTTTGTAAGGATTAAATGAGATAGGGCGGTTTTAAATACTTGGTAATTATTAAGTGTTTATTTTCTTGCTTCACCTAATTCTCCCATCCTACACCTTTTTAACATCTAATACCAAATTCTATTTTTTTCAGGACTTCCCTTTGAAAAATATGCGTGATTATTGACACTACTTTTTCTCCATGGATTTTGCACTTTAGTAGGGAGCATTTAAGTGAATTCATTTCTTCATTCCTTCACACTAATGTTCAGTTATCCAGAGAGTGTCATATCACTAAATGTCAGTAAAAATAATAATTTATCTATCTATCTATCTCCTGGCTTTTTAATGACAGCAAATTTGTCTACCTTCTTTTTTAACTACATTTTCCTAATGTCCAAAATACCGGCTTAATTGCTTCTCTTCTGAAGAAATCTTCTCCTTCCTTACATGTGACTGTAAAATTTTTAAGAATGTTTTACATAGGGACCATTTCCTTCAAAGTCACACTCCTTTCTATGTGCTGTTCTGCAGGATAAGAATTCCCAGGGGTTACTTTTGAAAGTTACATGTATAGATGAATCTCATTGAACATGTAGTCTTCCTCCAGAAAGAGATCTCTACCTATGGTGATATTCTTCAGATAATATTTATAATATAGGTAGCATTTATATGTAATTGACATCTGAAGAATTGGATCGCTACATTCCCCCTTCCTCCCTAAGATGCGGCTTTGGTAAGACCACATCCAAAGAAATCATGTAGGGTCTCATGAGCCACTATCAGGCTTTGGCTTTTTCTTGGAGGGAAATGGGAAGCCACTGGTGGGTTTTGAGCAGAGGAGGGACTTGATCTGACTTAGGTGTGAAGATAGGCTTTGGTTGCTGTATTTGAATAGACTATAGTAAAACAAAGGTAGAAGCAAGAAGAGCAGTTGGGAATCTATTGCAGGGATCCCGTAAGAGATGATGGTGATTTGGACCAGGAGGGTAGCAAGGGAGGTGGACTGGATTCTGGACATATTTTGAAAGTTGAGCCAGAAGTTTATCCCGATGGGCTAGATGTACAGTATGAGAAGAAGAAAGCAGTCAAGGATGATTACAAAGTTTTTGGCTTGAACAACTGGATGGATGGAGATGACATCAACTGAGATAGGGAAGGATGTTGGAGCAGCTGGTTTAGGGTGGGACATGAGGGATTTAGTTTGAGACATGTTAAACTTGAGCTGTCTCTTAGACATCCAAGTGGAGATGGCAAGCAGGCAATTAGACATGCAAGTCTGGACTGCAGGAGAGAGGACTGATCTAATGGTAGAAGACCCTTAAGATGTGCCCCTTAATATTTGTAAGACGTTTAGAGCAATGTCAGGCTCCTAGTAAGAAAGTAAGCAATGCTCATGATTAATACAGTTCCTTCTCCTCCTTTGACCATGTCATTCAAATTGTCCAAAATAACTGTAATGATCAATTCCTGTCTATCAGATGTAGTTATCCTCTGAGCTAGCAATGAAAGGCCTCCACAAAGCAATCCTTTCTTACTTTTTGGGTTTATCACCCCCTGGGCCCCATGCTACCCTTTGATGGTAAATTCCCAATTTTGCAAGTGCCATTTGAGGGTACTGTGGGAAGGGAATTAAATTTCAAAATAAAAGTTAAAAAACACCATGTGCACACATAGTCAATGTAATTCTGGAAAATGTCCTTTGAGTATAAAATATGTAGCAATAGGAGCTGAATATGACATGATAGGAGCTAATTTGATAGTTAAGAGCGTAGACTCTAGCCTTGGACTGAATTTATATTCCAGCATATCACCTTGAGAGAGTATCTAATCTCTCAAGAACCAGTTCCCTCATCCCAGTTTCCTGATGGGATTATGGAGAATATTAAATGGGACAATAAATATAAAGAACTTAGCACAATGCCAGACACACAGTAAGTTCTTGTAATTTTCAGCTATGATGATGATGACAATGATAAGCAACTTTACTTTTTGTTTTCAATTGGATCTAAGACTGAAGATTTTCTTGTGGCTTTCCATTTACTATGGACTTTTCATTGAACATATTCCTTGATATATCACTGAAAATTTAGAAAACTGAGTCTGAAGGCAGTAGGCCCAAAGAAGAAGACATTAGGAGCAGAAATGAGTCTGATCCAACCTGTTATTGGCGCCTCCCTTTCCTGTTTTGACTGCCCCCTGCTCCTCCCGGTGCCTTGCCCATTTTGGTAATTAACAAACTGAATGAAGTGACTCAAAAGAAAAAATGCTAAACTTACCTCTTCCCCCTTATGTTATTTTAATTGTGTATATTTTGTTTTTAAGCATGGTTCTTTAGGGGAAAACAGAATATGTTTACTATAGAAAAACACATATTCTTTTAGCCTAGTAATTTTGGAAGCAGAAGATGGTCTCCATGGTAAGAAGATGGAAAAGAAGTGGTATTAATAGAAGATAGCACAGAACTAACGCACATTTTATAATATAAAGGAAAGATTTTTTAGCCTCCTTGCCTAAACAACATTGTGAACTATAAGTTATGCTAAATTAGTGAATAAAATAAAAAGGAGCCAGCTACCATATGATTGCTCTGAGTGAAAATCAATAGTCAACTGCCAGGAAGCATCCCAGGACAGCAGAAACCTCTCGCACTTGTGACACACAGAGGCTTAATTGGTACTCCTATGGTTTGGAAGAATGGCTTTGAAAATACTTCTGACCTCTTAGAAGCAGATTTATAGATGTATAATAGTGCTTTAATCCTTGCATCCTGGAGTTGCCAAAGTAATAGAATATCAGAGTGGCTAAAAGCCTAATAAGATAATGATTGTCTGACATTCCAAGTCTTCTCCAGGCCAATTTGGGGTCCCAAACAATCACTTCCTTTCTCTTGGTCCTTACTTCCCTTCACACAATGTCTAAAGAGGTGTATTTTCCCCTCACTTTTTTCCGTATTGTTTTCCGTAGGATTGTTTTTTTCCTTTCTTTCCTATTTCTGTGTTTGAAACTCTACCATGGTATTTTTAGGGTTAACCTAATGCATCCTTTTTCACTTGTTATAATCTAAATTTCTTGTAGTAATCTACCCTTGCTCCAGACTCTATTCCTCTGGCTGTAGCCTGTAATTCTCTCACATTTCTCTCTTTTCCCATTCATTTACAAAGTCTTATATCCTAAATAGTGATATTCTTACTATGATCTCTATTGAGGTGAGAATATATCCATAAAAGTTATCATAAAACAATAAGTTCTATTTGAAAAATAAGCACACCAGAACATAAATATCTGTAGGAGTGTTGCCCCCTTTAAAAAGGTTGCAATGATAGTCACATACACTTTGGCATTCATTTTAGAACCACTTTTCCATCTTCACCAAAAAATCACTCTATTACCTCCTCTTCGCTTCATGCTTTACCCAGATTAGTATTACTCACCTAATTCACCAGACCTGATGTCAAATTCCCTTGATAGTTTCCATTGTTCACAGCAGTTCCATTAAGTATTTTCAAAAGAGTATGGAACACATCCTGAAGACAATTCTCAAGGAGAATTACAAAATTGTTGTTGAATAATGGCAGTGTAATTAAAATGTCTATGGTCTCCAACTACTTTAGATGGGAGAACTCCTTTTTTGGATGAGTAAGTTCTCTTATTTCTGGTAACAAATTGAACTTACTGTTTTATAGTCACCCTGTAAGAGCAAACTGAAAAGTTCTTTTATTTGACTTGAACTATATTTGAGTAACTAGCGTACCTAAAACTTTTAATCTGTGTATGTGGAAAATATGCTCTTGCTAATAACAATATGTCTGTCTGATTGTCTCTAGGACTATACTTGATAAGAAGGAGCTACTGGAGTTTGCTCAACTTGGCTGTTACTTGGAATTTGATCTCTTTGGTACCGAACTCCTTCACTACCAATTCAACCCGGCTATTGACATGCCCAATGACAATAAAAGAATTAAAAGGTAAATAGGATGAAATCTCTCATAGCATTCCCTTTTACCAGCCTTTTTTGATAGGTAGATATTAGCAAAGATTCAAAAAACAATAAGTAGGCTGAACCAGAGACTTGCAGAGAAAAATATATCTATGTTGTTTCAGGGAGAAAATCTCTCTATATTATTTCAAGGAGAAAATGAGTCATCCTAAGTAGGCAAAAGCTTAGCAGAGCCTTAGAAGCTCAGTGCAGATGGGCAGCTGACAAGAAGCACAGATAATATTCAACCCCTGCCATGACAATAAGAGAACAAAAGACGTTTTTCTCTTTTTATCCCTAATGAAGTAAGCTGTTGCTTTCCCAGGTTGACCATGCCAAAGTCATAAGTTCCTACAATGAATTTTTGAAATGCTTTATTAAAAGTATCCACTAAAGAGTTGATTGTAACTTAAATGCTGTAAGTATAGTATCTAAAGACCAAACATCACATAAAATCCAACCTCTCAAATGGTGGAGTGGTGAAAGCAAACATTTGTACCGGTCATTCTCTGCAACCAAGTGGAAAACTTGGGGAGTCAAGGATGGATGGCTACATGGTTTGTCTTAGTTACAAGGTGATATGAAGATCGAATGCACCAAGGTAGGGAATCTGAGAGGAGAAAGAGATTCGGGATTGACAAGGATGAATTCAGTTAGGGAATTTGTAAGTATTACTATCCAGTGGGGCCCTTGGATAAGGGTGTGGAGCTCAGGGCAGAGATTCAGGCTGAGACATAAATCTAGACATGGTTGATTTGTATGTGATAGTTGGAAGTGTGGGAATGAATGAGATCAATCAGAGAAGAGAATGAGGACAGAGCCCTGAAGAATACCTTCATTTAAGGGGTGGACTCAGGAATAGTCACTCAAGGACAGGCTGAGAAGTTTTCCAAGTGATAAGAATATCAGGGAAATGCGTTGTTATGGAAGTTGGTGGAAAAGAATGCTTAAAGCAGAAGGGCTTGAACACTTGTAATAGGTGGCTGATATCAAGTGAGATAAAGACTGAAAAGTATCCATTGGGTTTCACAACCAGGAGGTTCTCATTTCACAATCAGTAAGTGCAGTCTTGGTAGAAAAGGCTTGAGGAATGAGTAGGAGGTGAGGCATGGGATAGAGAAGCTGGTAGTTACTCTTTCAAAAAGCTGGGTAGTAAAGGGAAGCAGGAGAGTAGGGCTGAAGCTAGAAGAGAAGACCAGATCAAGGAGAAGTTTTGTTAGGAGCTGAGCAGTGTTTATGTGTCTGAGAGAAGACAGAGAATGAATCCAGGGAAGTAGTGCCTATGTTACAAGTTTGTTATAGAATTTGTATGAACTAAAGTATGCAAAGTTTTTAGCTGCGTGTCTGGTATAGAATATGGAAGTAGTCAATCAATATTACCTTTAAAAAATCTGGAGAGATAAGAGATATAGAGCAAGGCTCCTAAAAAATAGGACAAATAGATGGAATCTTGGGAAGCAAATAGGAAGTTGGTTGAAAGGAGGTGTACTTCCTACATTGAAATGAGACGAGGCGAGGTAAGTAATGGGGTGAATGCAGATAAATGTCTTGGTGGGAGGAACAGGAAACTGAGCACATAAGCCCCATATGTTCTCTAGTGTGCTGGTGAAGTAGACATGGTCATCCCTGAGAAAAGAAGGAGTGGATTCAGTGCAGGACCTTGTAGAGAAGGATGAAGGCTGGGGATGGATGTGGAGTGAATGAGGGATATACTGACTAGGGACATGCTGTGTGCAAGATCCAGTTGAGGCTAGAGATCAGAAATGCACATTGGCACCAGTGCGCTTGATTTGGTGATTATTTTCCCCAAAAATGTTTTGTATTTTGGTAGCAGGACAAAAAAATCTTTGTGAGTGGAAGCAAAATAATGTGAATAGTTAGAGAGATTGACGGTTGGGATTCTGTCTGAAAAACGTGATTGATACCCAGAGGAAAAAGGAAGAGGTTGAGATGAGAGTCACGAGGTCCAAGATGGACGGAAGAAGATACAGAGAGAAATGGAAAGATATATAGGAAGTACATAGCAGGGGCAAATAACTGGAAGCTTTAATGAAGTGGGTGAATACATATAGTAGAAGAAGTTCAGTGAAAAAGTAGGAAGATCTAACTTGTGGTCAGAGTGGGAAACTGAAGATTGAGATTTCTCCATGGAAGTAGTTCTCCATGATGACCAGGACCAGAATGTGGTTATGAGGGTAGAAATCTGGTTGGACTGGGAGTATGCATAGCTGGAGTTGAGAAGTGACGTCCAGAAACTGTGAGGCTCAAGGAGTGATCGTTGAACATGCCCACACTGGAGTGGAGGGAAAGATCTTGAGCCACTGGCCACAGCTGGGACAGCCTTAGGATCTTTCCCCTAGACAGGGGACCTTTCCATCTGTATGTCTTCTGCTGTCCCTGTGTATTGACACTCTTCTTTGATTACCTCATTAACAGTAAAATATGCTTCAAGTTTAATATCATTCGAGAGGGCTAGTTGATGGATGTTGCGTTAGTTACATAAATATGGAGATGCTCAGCTCTACATGAGCAATCTGCTTTGGCTGCCCTGATCAATGAAGCTAGCCCCTTTTTATTTGATAAACAGATTTATTGTTTCTTTTTAGTTTTATGATTTTAATTTACTTGCCCAGGAGCACCATTCAATACAGGCAAACAGGTTTCCCTAGGGCCCTAGTAGGTGTGTCATACTCAGAGGCGACTATTCTCTGGAATTTAAAATGGGGTGCTGGGGTAGGTCTTTCTCATCTTTCATGATCTCAAAACCATGATTTCCTGAAGAATGCCCTCAACACACATTTTATAATTCACCTTGGAAATAGGAAGGTTCCTCCCAGGACCCGCTTCCTTTTTCTCAGCCTGTTTGTGGCTGTCAGGTGTACCTTTTGCACCCGTATGCCTTCCATGAGGCTCCCAGACCTTGTGGAATAACAGCGATGGGTCTGCAGAGAGGGATCTATGCAGGAGATATTGGGGAAGGACGACCATCAGCTCCCCCTGTATTCCTTCTTAGCTCCTTTTGGCTACAAATTCAAGAACGGGAACTTAATTTTGGTCAGCTTTCATTGTGCCAAATGTAAACATTCTAGATTTACAGAAATACATCAAAAATTATATATAATATACTTGTGTGTTTATGTATATCTATGTATATGTGTTTGTATGTATACTTAATCTTCCTTAAATTAAAATTGTGCATTAGGTCACTTGACTCAAGCGCAGCTCACGGTAATTACTGAATGACATTTTGGCTGTGTGTGCCCCAGTACCCCCTTGTCCCCTATCTCTCTGGCACTTGATTTTGATCATTCATCAGCAGTCCTTTTCTGAGCCCTAGAAGCCCTAAAGCTCTCAAGTGCAAGAACACAGAAGCACGCTTCTGCCTACCTCTGGTTTTCAGCCCCAGAAAGTCTGTGTCTAACACCTGTTTTCAATCTTATGCTCCATTTCTCAAATCTTATTATATCTCTGCCTTTTCACACTTTGTAGTCTCTCTCTAATATTTGTTTGCAAAACACTAACTCATTTGTATTTCTATAATTACCTTGATTTTTTGTCTTCTCATCTGTAGTGGCTCCTTCCTTCTGGCAGCATCTCTGGAACTACTGTTCTTCCATACAATGGCACAGCATGAGAGATGATCTCTGATTTTAGGAGTGACCAGGCAGTTTCTTGATAGTCAGGATGTAATTATGTTTCTAGACCCACAGTATTATCTTTCTTATGAGAGAACTAGTCTCCAGATTCTCGACTTAATGACTTCTAAGGGTTCCCATTTTCAAATGAGTATCTTATCCATTATATTCTTTTCTTACTATGTCACAATTCAATAACTGCATTTCAGGGACGACATAAGACCTCCTATCCATACGATATGCCTCTGTAGTAATAAGATATTTTTTTCTCAAACAAGGAAAAGAGACAAAAACTTTGGGAAATGCTCAGAACATATAAGGGGGAAAGTGTACCCTAAAATTTCCTGTAATATGATACTCCTTTTCAGTTGTGGATCAAGGTTTGTCAAACTAAGTTTCAGGATTGTATACACATTCTGTCAAATCTTCCTCTTTTTTTCATAAATGACTACATAAATCTCTTAGATAATTCCCTTAAAGAGAGTTTGTTCCAAAAGTAACTTCTCATCAGAACTTTTGGACATTATACATTTTTTTTTTTTTTTTTGCTGGGGAAGATTTGCCGTGAGCTAACATCTGTGCCAGTTTTCCTCTATTTTGTATATGGCTTGGCCCCACAGTATGGTTGCCGATGAGTGGTGAGGGTCCACGCCTGGAACTGAAGCTGGGCCACCGAAGTGGAGCCTGCTGAATTTAACCACTAGGCCATAGGCCAGCCCCCTAAGACATTATACACATTTTAAAGAGGCAGATAACCATGCCTCTTGGTGACACAAATAGCATTCCATCTACTTATAGGACACACATGGAGTACATGTGATGTGAACGCAGATTTCCAGACAAAATGCCCAGGTTAACTTTTCTTCTGTGGCATTTGCCTTCCTTTGACCTGCAAACACAAGATCTAATCTTATAATTATTATAATTAACATTATTAATATTAAATTAATTATAATTTAACATGTATGTTCTCAGAAGCCAGGGCTTTGTGCTTCAGGGGTTTTTTTGGGCAGTATCCCACATTTTGCTTAGTGTGGTAGTTATTAAATATGACTCATGCACTGGACTGGCAAGAAATGCTATCGAAACAAAAAGGATACCTTTCAAATAATTAGCCCTTGGAAGAAGATGCTATCCATCCATCTAGATCCATTTGGGAATCTAAAGACTGACAAGATTATATAGAAAATGCCAGAGAAGAGTCATTGTCCCCAAGTTGCATTGCCTGCCATCAGAGACCCATGGAAGTCACGACAGACGCTGCCCAGAGTCCAGACACATACGGATGGTGGCCGTCAGGAAGTGACTCACGCTGGAGATTACAGCATTTAACGAGGCAAAGAGGGGTGGATGCTTAGACAGTAGTCAGTAAGCCGTTCTTTAGTCAACTGACTATAGATTTAAAGAAAAGCCTCATTATTTATAGCAATCTTGTTGAAATGGAAGGAAGACAGAGTAAATTTTTATTGGTCAATTTAACCCAACGTTGTAAGGCTACTACTAAGTCAAAATTCTCCTGGACTTCAATGGGACAAATGCTCAAAATACAGAGGGGCCGTTGCTGACCTTTTAAAAATGACTGTTTAACTTATCATTTGCCCTTCACTTTCAAAGCCACTGAGTTTGCTCCCAGAATGTTTTACTTGTACGAAGATTCCTTCCATATCCCTATTTTAATAACAAATAGTCATTGACTTTATTTGCTAGGAAAAAGGAGACAGAGAATGAGGTCTGAAAAATGGGCCCACTAAGAGGCATTGCAGAGTGGAAAGCTGGCCACTAATCCAGAGCAAAGTTATTTAGTGAAATGCTGAAGGGGCCATTCATTCACACTGGCATATCCTATAAGAAGCTATCTTTAATGCAGTATTGCCGGGCATTGTCGTAAGTATCATAGGCTAGAAATTTCTGTGCACATGGAATAAGGATCATGTTCCTACTAGGATACATCAAAATCTTTATCATCACCATGGAATATTTAGTAAGGGTCTCCCAGTACACGTGCCACAGTGGAAGGTGGTATCTTTACGACAAGCACAATACGTTTATGAGTAAAAGTTTAAAGCACGCTGAAAATGTTAAATGCGAGACAAATGCCACATAATGAGTTAACATTTTTCACAGGGTGCGTCTTCTGGTGGATGAAGGCTATGAAGATCGAATTCTGATGGCACATGACATACACACAAAGCATCGGCTGGTGAAATATGGAGGTCACGGCTATTCTCATATACTCACCAACATTGTTCCTAAAATGTTGCTTAGAGGTATAACTGAGAATGTACTGGATAAGATCCTAATAGAGAACCCTAAGCAATGGCTAACTTTCAAATAGGCTGGTTGTTTATGAATTCACACCTTGAGCATAAAGCTTGCAGAGAACATTCAGTGATTTCAAACCCACTGTGAGATATTAATCGGAGCTACGTAGGACTAATGACAGATCATTTCCTTTTTATGAGATTTAGAAGAGTTTTGCCTTCTCAGAAACTGGCCGACTATTACATCTGCACCTTTAGGGAGTTACTGAGCCTAATTGAGCCCTACCGTTTTGCCTTAACAATATAAATATGCAAGTACCTATTTCCAAACAATGATCTACGGTCTATATCCCCTAATTTGTTTTGTTTTGTTTTCTTAATCTATCAGCTGCACTACTTGAGAAAATTTAAAGTGTTTCTAGTTAAATTACCCCCTTCTGGAGCAATCTAATGTTTCTTGTAATATTGATGATCCTACTAATTATCCTGCTGTTCTTTAATTAATGCTTAATGAATAATATGGCACTTTAAAATAGCTTCTGCAGCAAGGGAAGTTAAATTTTGAGTCTTTTTTCTTTTCCTAAAGGATACTGTAATACAATTGCCAATTCACAACGGTAAAAATAGCGTGGAAGGTTAATTATATGCTGTCACCTATCTGTATATACTTATAACAAATCGGTATTGTTGCCTTTGGGTTTCTGGTGTCCATTTTTGCTGTTAATTTTGTTGTGTTTTGAAAAATTTGCATAAGGGGGTGTGAACATATAACATAGTACTGAATTAGAAAAATTCAATCATAAAAGTCAAAATATATTACATAATATAGTTTAATGAATCATTACATTTATAATAACAAAGGCCACAATTTAATTAATTAATAATATATAATGCAAATAAAAAGAAATGTTTGCCTTATATATATTCCCTTTATTTCCTTTACCTTTTATTTGTTCTTCCTTGGGCCTCAACAGAAAAAATAATGCTTATTTATCTGAAGGAAAGGTCAGATCTATTAGAAATGACAGTCTGATTCTGGAGCCTACTCTTTAAAAGGTACCCAGCCCTGAAGTTTTGTGTAAATAAAGCCTTTTGAAAAACTCTTAGTTGCTGTGGAATGCTGTTTATAAATTAATATTTTGGTTGAATCCTTACTATGTTATTTGTTATCTAAAAAACAATTCTCCAAACCCTTGGTGCCAATTCCTCTTTGATAAATATATATTGTTAAATGAAATAAAATCCATTGCAACTCCTTTATGAGTTATCTTACATATTAGAAAGGCCAAATAGAATTAGTCATTATTCTTGATGAATGGGCTGCTTTTAATCATATAAATCATGACAGTTACTCAGACCAAGGCATTTAAACCAAGCAAACAGCACCTTCAGATGGGAACGCCATGCATAACTCTTTTGGAAAGTTGCGGTTTGCTAAATAAAAGATATTTCTGTGGATCAAAGATGATCAAGCTTTCTGTGTATTAGAACAGAAAGTACCCAAGAGGAATGAGCCAGGAGAACAAACTAATTCCTTTAAATGAAAAAATGCAAATGTCCTTCACCAGTAAAAAAAAAAAAAAATAGCAGATTTTTAAAGCTCTGTTTTTGAAATTTACTTGTCAAAGAGTCTTCACAGACAACTGAGAGGGGAACAGATTTTTCACTGTAATAGTCGAAGTTGTCTAATAGTTAGGATATATCAACATGCATTTTTAATCTTTTTCTTAGATTAAAGAGATGGCTTTTGGCAGTGTATTTTAACCAGAGAGAAAGGATTTGCACTATTCTCAAAGTCTACTTTACTGTGAGCTTCAATCCACCTGAGAAAAAAGAAAAAAACTGATAATTCAAATGCATATAATTCATAAACGTGGCAAAGAAGAACCACTTTGTTTCTCTAGTCCTCATATTAACAGTCTGCCACAGAATGCAGTGAAAGTATTGATTGGCATATGGTAATGAAGAAGCCACAGGCTTAATTTACAGACATGTGATGTATAGGGCATTGTAACCTAATAAAATTTAATTTTCTGGGTAACTCTTAAAAGATAAGTCATTTAAATTATTTTGCTACTCCATATATTTTTGTCATCCAAAATATACTTCAATCCAAAATAAGTCAAATAATTTATGTGTGTTTGTGTGTGTGTAGACACATTTTTTTAAATTAAATTTTTGAGGCTATACAGCCACTGTGCCTATGGTCTGAAGCCATATATATATTATATTTCATCGAACATATATATATAAACACATATATATGTAGCAGGTATTTGTATAAAATATATACACTTTGTCGTCATATCGGTTATATGTGAAATTGTTCATCTTGAAATAACCTCAGGCCACGATTTGTAGTAACTACTTGAAGGCCTTACTTAGTGTCCCCTTGGTGACGCATGCATTAGCTCAAATTAAACCTCTGTGCATTGGATTAAGAATACTCTTTTGTTCCAAAGAAGGCAAAAGCCTCAGTCTGATTTAACACCAAAGAATAAATATCTCCAATTTTCCAAGTAAATCTAAACGCATTCCACTGACAAAATGGACACACAGGGGATTTCTAAATACCATACATAATTACACATTTTCACACTGGGAGGGTAATCCTATGATACAATTTCCATCTCTATTTTTAAAGACTATCACCAGAGAAGAGAGAAAAGAAAATTCGTAAGAAAAAGAAAATGTGAAAATGATCATACGCTTGGGAATTCCCTCAAATCCAGAAAATTCCAGGTTAAGGCTTGAAGTTGAATCATTCCCAGGTCTAGCTCTAAAGTTAACAAGAGTACAAGGCAAACGATTTCTTTGGACACAAGCAGCATTGTTTCAATTCGACCTTCTCCTGCAGGGTAAAATCATTCTTCCCCACACTATGAATGGACTCCAGGTGTCATAATAAGCAAGGAAACTCACGAGAACCAAAGCTGACAAATGGATAAAAGCAGCAAGATCACAGTACACCAAAGGATCATATATATTGAAGAAATAATTCAGTGTCTTAGATTTTTCTATAAAAATTTGTGATCTATATAGGACTTCATTCACATGGACACTAACGATAAGGAGTATTTGCTTTGGCGGTAGAGAATCACACATCTGCTTATCTTGCCTTTAATATTTTTTTACATCATGTTTCTGAGTATACAGATGTGAGTCAGGTAGCATTTGAATTCCCCACATATACACAACTGAGGGGCCCCGCAACTGGCATCCCCTGGGATCCTTGATTCATTGACGTTAGCTGTACGAATCCAGTGTCCAAACTCAGACTAATAAGCTTAGTTTCTGCGTTATCAGTCAGCATAAATAATAAATCCAGAAAATGTGCTGTATTTATTGTTGTTTCCTCCGTGGGCTTTCCCGCCATCTAATTTGATGTAGACTTCGTCTCCTGGCTCCAAATGAAGAACCACACTGTTACTGGCGTAGTCGTAATTCTGATCAGCGTCTTGGGCAATCGCACTAGCACGCACCTATGTGAAACAGACAAGAATTAGAATTTGTCACAGAGAATTCTCAAGTTTTCTTTTTTGCTGTTCACTCAGCATCATAAGCAGACTTGCTGCCACGGCACAGAATTTAGCGCGGGAAAGTCCACCTTGAACTTGGAGCTTTATGAGGATATCTTTGTAACAGTTTGACCTATGTCACTGGAAAGGAGAAAATAGTGCTTTCGTGAACGTCTTTCCAGTAGTCTTTTCTTACTATATGTTGTAAACAATGCATACCAATCTATCCTCTTCCTAAATCACGACTTTTTCTAATTCCCTGAATCTTTATGCCCAATCACTTCCTGAAATGGAAATAATAATATTTTTTTTGCATTTTAATTTAAGCCACATAGTAATATTATAACCAGCTGTTTATGAGGACAGAAGTTCAATCCAAACTTCAGTTGGTTCTCACGATTATTAGAAAATTGAGATCCATAGTAGGTAAAGACTCAAAGAAATACCACCACTCTAAGTCTACTATAGAAGAAGAAAAAAGGGAAGAAAGCCTTTTGACTTGGGGCTTTCAAAATTGAATTCAGGTAAAGCCCCTTTTACCAGAAGCTTAACCCCTTTACACATCTTTGGTTATATCACTCAGGTTTTCAGAGTTCTTTTTCTATTTGTGCCTTTTTATGACGTAATTGTGACGTGTGCACTGAAATCAATTATTTAATTTCAACATATCTAAAAGTTACAGAAGGAACTAAATTTCCATGATTTGAGGTCTCTAAAATTTCTAGAATTTTCGAATGATCTCACTGAATACCCTTTTATATCTAGGTGATTCTAAATGTGTGGTTTGCTTTGAGGATGAAGGCTGTTAATAATCCACTCAGGTTGAGCCTGTAATCTCATTAGTGACTTGATAGACACTTCGAAACAGTCAAATTGCCCATCTTATCAAGTAATATGGACATTCTGTCACATCCTCAACTCAAATTAGGCTTCATATTCATTTAGCTACATTTTGATTCTGCCTTGGAAAAAAATGTTTCAATAGGCAGACTTGTATTTGATTTATTTTGGTAAAACATCTTCTACTTTGTGGCTTGTTTCCATTCCACTGTAATGATATTTCCCTGAATAACGTAGCAAGTGATTTAGTGGTTTTGTAAACCTGCGCTATGTAATAATGCATGACTTGGGGTACAATATGCTGGGTTTTATCACTTGGCAAAATGAGGGAAATGAGACATAAGTCAAGAATTTCCATGCATTTCTTTCAAAACTGAAATGATAGGTTTTCAAATTAAATTTTCATGTGGCATGTTCTCACATTAATGCTGAAATGTTAAAAAAGGAGAAGGCTCTTTGACACTGCTGAACTTGTAAAGTAATTTGAGTAGTATTTTTAAAATTTCTTTCTCGATATCATGTAACAAAAGGAGAAAAGGGCTTTAAGGATTTAGAATTGCTTAACGCTGTGCTGACACTAATAGAATGAACGCCATATACTATGCAATTATGCTCAGAAGCACTGACTCAAATGTACACACCAATTGAGTGAGGTGGTTTGTTTTGACCATTAAGTAATAATACAATTTAATGTCGTAATATTTCCTAGGAATTAATCAGAAGTTTATGGGAGTTGAAGGCTTTGATTCATTAATTTCACCTAGTCATTAATTCCCAGGAAAAAGAAATCTGCAAGGAGGATAGTGCTATTACAACCTGATTTCTTTTATGTGTGGATTTGTAATGGATGAGAAAAATTAAAATATAAAATAGTAATTAGCCATATTAGTAATATATTATCAATCCATAATATACTTCTCAACTATTATTAATAAGCAGACACATTTTCTTCAGTGCTTCAGGTATTTAGTATATGTTCGATAGGTATTGTGCTTTAACATTGTTTTCTATAGGGAGGCATTTGGGAACCAGGACTCATCAAAATCACTTGATTTAGAGACAATCATCTTAAATATATATACACTGCAGTTTTTATTCTATAGGGTATAGTCACAAATCCATGTAAATGTTCCCATTTTTATTCAGCAGGTGTAACCACAGAAACCTGCAAATGCATTAGTGTGATGCCACCGACTGGAAGGTTACCCTTTGGGGTTTCACTTCCTTTGTTGGATAAAGCCAGTGTGACTGCTTTGTAATGAAAGTGATTCTCTAAGATTTTAACCTATAGCGTACCATTAGATTTTCTCAATTAAATCATTGCCATACTCCAGTGTAATATGCATGACTTTAGTGTGTCTGCTCACCTGATTATACTCTAGACGTATAATGGAACTTGAAATTTCATGCTCTGGTGTCCAGCTCAGTGACTTCCAACAATTCCTCCTTTAAGCCATCAAACTATTGAGGAAGGTAATGCATCCACCCATGAGGCTATTTTCAGGTTTCTAAATGTACACTGATTTCAGCATTTTCTCTGGGAATATGATGCATCCTTTCCTGAGCCCGTTAGACCCATTTCTAACTAAATGGACTCTAAAATCTTTTCCTATTGCAAGTTAACCATTTAGATTCTGCCTGATCTTTAGTGCATGGTTCACTGCCCCTAAAAAAATAATTAATTTGACATTTCATTAATCTTGCTAATCAATGAATATCAACCCACAAACTATTCTTTGTTTCCAATA